ACGCAATCACAGTGGAGCTGAGCTGTTTGGTAGCAATTGCCTGCAGTTATGCCTGCACCCACAGTAGTCCTTATGATGGGAGCTGGCAAGAATTCAGTTTTCTCTTTCTCATCATAGAAAACCTGCCCACAGTGAAGAACTAGGCTTTTGTTGATTAATGACTCCTTTGTGGATTGGGGAGGTGTATTAGCAATAATTTATTTTCTCCCTTTTGTGCAGAGATTTTTTTGTTTCGTTTTGCTGCTGTAGGATGTGTCTTTTTCCTGCCCCATGAGTCACCTTCAGTATCCCAGTCCTAGTGTGTATCTGGATGTTTCCAAAGCTCTCTCTCTCTCTCTCTCTTTTTCTCTACATCAGCAACCTTAATACCATACAGCAATGCTTATATCTCCTAAAAGCCACAACTCATTGCAAAATGGTCTTTTCATCATCAGATTTTGCAATAAGTGATTAAATGCAGCCGAGGAATGATGGCATGGCAAGCAACCCTTTTCTATCAATTCTCTGTTTTCCTTTTTCCACATTGCCAAACAAATGTGCGCATTACATTTTGGAAACCGGGTGTGTATGTAGGAGTGCCAGCAATTTTGTCTTGTTTTTGAATATTTTTAAAATTAACAAGTGGCGGATATCAACTTCATTCAGTTGTTCATTCATTCATTTGCAAATTAGCCCTTCGCTTTAAAATTATTTCCAGTCTTTAATCATCCACCTATTTATAAGGCTTGATATTGTCATTAGCCAATAATCATTCTAAACAGCCAGGTTTTCTAATCTGATCATGTTTAGGCACCAAAACAAGGTATCTTTGTACTTAATACAGCCAGGGTTCTTTCCCACTTCTTTCAAACTATCTTTTATTTTTTTATTTTGCTTTTTGGTTTATGATATGCTATTGCACGGGAATAGGAAACATGTGAACTCTCCAAATGCAAATGACACATTTGATCTTTCTGGTTGCTCCATTACCAGTAGAGGCTGCCCACATTTTATCGAGGTCAGGAGTGGAGTCTCTCCATCCTAGCCAGTTACAAATGTAATTATGGCTGCGTATTGAAGCTCCAATTCAAAAGTGGCTCATGTGGTTAGGATGCTGGGTTGGAGGTTAACAAGCCCGCATGTCAAACCTGAATTGACTCCACACTTGCACCTGCTGTCACTCACAGTTTGCCAAACAGCAATGGGAGTGAGGGGGTGAAAATTCTTAAGGATGTAAGTAAACAGAAAAGTAAACACAGATGGCTGAGGCTTCATTTAACTTCTTTATAAACATATAAAATGAATTTTACAATACCAGTTGTAGATTTCTCCAACATGGACCAAACTCAAACAGAAGCAGACATGTTACAGGTTCAGAGCAGAGCTCTAGTTTTCAGCAAGCAACTTTCACTTTAGAGCTGAGCACAAAACAAAAATAAACCACACCCAGATTCTCTGTTTAAGTTTCAGCCAATTCAGCTCTCATTGGGTGACCTTGTTACTATGCTCTATTCCAGTTCATGAATATACTCTGACAACTATAAGTGGCCTGGAAGGGGAAAGGGGGTTTTACCTATGTGAGTTTTTGCAGAAAAATCCCAGAACTGGCTTTGCTTCTGCTGTATCTAGATCATAGGTGTCAAACTCGCTGCATCATGTCGCTGTCACGTGATGTTTTGCGGCATTTTTCCCATTCGCGCAGCTGGGGTGGGCGTGGTCTGTGCATGATGCATTCAGCTTGCCGGCCGCCAGTTTGACACCCTTGGTCCAGATGGATCTTTCAATAAAGCTTGGTAAGTTAACAGTTTGGTCTAGTGGTTAACAGTTCGGTCTAAGAAAGCAAGGGATTATGATTTCAAGGCCTGCCTTAGCCATGAAAGCCAGCTGGATAATCTTGGACCAGTCGCTTTCTCTCAGCCTAACTCACTTCATAGGGTTGTTGTTGTGGGGAGATAGGAGGAAGCTGTGTTAGATATGATCACCACCAGTTATTTGTAAAAATAATAAAGGTCGGATATAAATAAATAAATAAACAAACAAACATATAAATAAAATCTCTCTCCATAAGTCTTTTTTTTCTTCCTGTGTTCAGCTAGAAATTGCCTTTCTTCAGAGCTTAGCTCCATGTAAAACAAAAAAAGGAATAATAAATAATCTCTGGAGGTAATTTTGCTAGTTCAGACAAGATCTTGAAGCAATCCCAATCTCTTGATTCTAACTCTTCTGATTCTGCTCCAAATTCTTTTCTCACCTAACACATAAATAATATGATGATTCTTCAGTTTCTCACATGGAAGAAAACCATTCACAGATTTTTTCCCAGGGCGTTTTCTGGAAAGTAATATGAGAAAACATTGGATGGCTTGTTAAAAAAAGATCATCAGTTCAACCTTGTACATAGCTTCCAAAAGGTACACTTCAGTGTGTTACCACCAGTTAGGTCCCATAAGGTTCCTTGTTCATTGCTTCCAAAAAAAAATCTGTCCTTGGCATGTTGGCTGTGGATGGGAAAAGGAAGGCAGATTGCAGAATCACCAATAGCCTCAGAAAATGGTCTCCAGTTAAAGGAAACATCAGACACTGTTAGTTCGGTCTCAACTCTTTGAGATTTCAGTCAATAGTAGCCTAATAAAAACATGACAAAGGCTCCACCTGCTATGTTCCTGAAAATCACCAGCTTGCTAATAATAGTATTAGATCGGGTTAAAAAATATGTGCATGGCTAGTAAATAATACAAGTACTTTCATTCTGTAACATCTATTTAATGCTCTATATGAATCAGTCCAATTTCATATTGGCAAACCATGGTTAACCTTCCCCCCTCCTGCCACCATGGTATAATACACTATCTGAAGCCATCCCAGAGAAATAAGTGACAACTAAGCCCAGATATGTGTGAGAGAACAAAGATGAACACAGCCCCTCTCTAATACCGATAGTTCACAGAGTGTATTGTAGATGCAATTAGTAAAATCCCTTGTCTGGCAAGATTTTGTCTAGATTGTGAAACAATAAAGAACTCAATCTGGAAGAAATACCATTCTCAAGTTTTGGCTCTGACATATGGCCAGTAAAATAATCTGAATATGAAATTTGGTTAAAACACTGAATTGGAAAGATGGCTCTAGATGACATCTTTTATTATATGCAGGCCACATTTAGACTGCAAAAATCCAAAGCATCACTAAATGGTAGAAAACTTAAAATATCTCTATCTCTTTGTTGCCATCTATTGGTCCTCTCTGGAATTTTGCAGCCTGGATAAACTATTCCTATTATTCTTCTGCAAATTGTATACTTATTCAAAAGGTTCACTGGGTACCTATGAAATAGAAGCAGCATTAAGCTCAGAACAGTCACATGAAATATGCTGCAACAGTTTAAAAACAACTCTCTAGATAACTATATTTAATAGGCTTAACAATAATCTATAATAAGGCACCATAATTCAATGTTTTGAAGTAATATTCTTCTTTGTCACAAGTTTCACTATTGATATTTGTTTGGCATTATAATTATATTATGCTACGGTAATTTTAAAAAATGAGTGGGATAACTGATATTGGTGAACTAATTCTCAGCATTCCATTGAATTGGCTATGTGGCTGCTGGGTTTCCAGTATTCGTTCAACATCCAAAATGCCACAGTATTTATTCTCAAACCAGGGATTCAATTTTTTTTTAAATGAAAACAATGCTGTATGGAACTTCTTTGTTATTATTCCTACAAAACTGGGGAGAGAGTGATAAGACTTTTTTTAAAAAAATCAACACATCAACATAATGCAGAATATTTTGAGTTTTATTTTCAAAGAAAATGACAACAGTGGCAATGGATTTATATCACTGACAGATGCTAAAATATTGCTGCCCCTTAAACATCTGAGCCAAGAATTGTAGTTTTTAATCAGAGTAAAACCAATTTGATAAAGTTCAATGATTCCATTAATAGTTCAGAACATTAATTTATAATTTTTTGGAGAGGGGAGTGCCCCGTCATTGAATTTGATTTCAACTTGCAAAAACAACTGAGTGATGAATGTGAATTATTGATCTTGGGTGTCAACTCAGTTTGTAAGTATCCTTACAATGCTTCATCCATAGTTAAGCAAATTGAACTCAAATCAAGAAGTTACAGAAATGTTCTCTTGATCACAGAAAGGTCACTCTACTCATAAACTTGCACAATGAAGAAAGATCACATTTCCCGCCTGTTACCTAGGCAACAGGACTCTACTGAAGCACCATACCATGCAGCCAAACAGGTAAGACTGACTGACAGACAGAATCCAAGAGGCAACATGTGGAGCACTGTGCCGCAAATCCAGATAGAGATGAGAGTGACAAAAACCATGTTATTTATAAGTGTGGTTTTCTTCTGACAATCCCCCCACTTCCCAAATGTAGGGTCAATGCTGCAGATGGACAGGATGAGAAGGAATATATTTGCTAGCAAGACCTCGTTAACCCTCTTTGTACAAGATCATCTTTCATGCAGACAATTCATTTCATTCATGAAACTGAATGAACAGTTTTCAGCACAAACAGGCTACCGTTTCGCCTTCTAGGTGCTGCTGAACTCTGCCTTTGTCAGCATGGAAAGAGAAATTTTAAGAGGTGGGGTCCAATGTCTGCAGGGCCATCCATTGCACATCCATGGCTTAGATGAACGAGACTATATCTACTCCTCCCACACATTATCTATCTACGTATCTACCCAAATAATTGATCATGGAACAAGAAAGGAATTAATTTACATGTTGGTGTCACTATGCAAGTACAAAATATACAATTGTATGTTGCATCAACTTCTCTAGATTTCTTTTTTTTTAAAAAAAACACGTTTGTGAAATTGTTTTCATTTCCCCACAGGAATACATTCTTAGCGGGAGCTTCTAATTCTTCAGAAGGACCCAAGAGCAAGTCAATCTGCTAACAATTTAGTCCGTCATGGTGCTCTGTTGATATGCATCAAAATGGACTCTGTTCCAAAATAGTGACTCACTAAAACAAGAAAAACTTTTTAAAACGATCACCAGAATTTATTTGCCCTTTTTCATTTTTGCTATCTTCTCCTTTCGCTTCTTTACATGCTTTGGAATCTTGTGTTTTCTCTTCTCCCTTTGAGCCTCTTTGACTATTTTCTTCCTTTCCTGGAAAAGTAGATCCAAGTGAGAAACATACACTGACCAATTTTTTTCTGTTTTAAAGAACAAAAGAATGCCAAGGACGTTTATATAGCGATGAACATGGCACTCAGAGCAGCCTCCCCTTCATGCAAAAATATTTTCCCCAATTGAGGAAAACCGTCCCACTAACCTTTTTGTCAACATCTGTTTCAGCAGGCTGGTCTTTAAGATGCCCCAAGTCTTCCTGTTCCTTACAACATGAGTCTGAATTGTAAGAGCTATCATCTTCATCCTCATCATTAGAATCTGCCTCATTGTTATTATTTTCAAGGAGTGCAGGCACCTACAACAAACCAAAAGATTCATTTTTTTCCTCACTCTTGTCCGCCATCAGAAATTCTTTGGATACGTGAAGTTCAGCCTTCACAGCCTTCTCCGAGAGCTGAATACTACTGGAAGCTGATGTCCAAGACATTCAAAGAATTCCAAAAGGTTGCTCTAAGTTGGATTTTAAGAATGCAAGGACTGTCAAAGGAGAATCTATATGTTTGAACCATTAACATAGCTAACAAAATTCTTCTATAAACTCAAACTGCCCAATATTTAATCAATATTATTGATGTAAAGATTAGGGATATTTTGGCAACAAAACAGCTTTAAGCTCTTGTTCTCACTGAAGAAACATGGAGCAATAGTACCATAATACTATTAACCTTCTCATCACTCCTTATCACCCATCCCCTCCCACTTATGACTGTATGACTGTAACTTTGTCACTTGCATCCTTACGATTTATATTGACTGTTTCCTAGTATGATTTGATTGCTTATTTATACCCTATGACTATTATTAAGTGTTGTACCTGATGATTCTTGACTCTTGACGAATGTATCTTTTCTTTTATGTGTACTGAGAGTATTTGCACCAAGACAAATTCCTTGTGTGTCCAATAACACTTGGCCAATAAAAAAGAATTTTAATTCTAATAATTAAGAAAGTTGGAAAGCAGGAAGAAGATCCAATGTGCAGTTATCAATTAAAGTTTTTGCTACATCTGTAGGCAGGTGACCAGCAAGCTTATTCTAGCTCTGAAAATCATTGTTAAAGAATTAAAAATAGCTAGTCATATATGTAATGCTAATTATATTTGCATATCATTTTAAGTCACACTAAGATAGGGCTTAGATGATCCTGAATCTAAACTTTAGTCAGGAGAGGTTTAACTGTAATCTGAATACATCTAGTCCTCAACTTACAACCATTCATTTAGTGACTATTCAAAGTTACAACAGCACTGAAAAAACACACTTGACCAATAAAAAAGAATTTTAATTTTAATAATTAAGAAAGTTGGAAACCAGTAAGAAGATCCAATGTGCAGCTATCAATTAAAGTTTTTGCTTCATCTGTAGGCAGGTGACCAGCAAGCTTATTCTAGCTCTGAAAATCATCGTTAAAGAATTAAAAATAGCTAGTCATATATGTAGATTTACAAATGCTAATTATATTTGCATATCATTTTAAGTCACACTAAGATTGGGCTTAGATGATCCCGAATCTAAACTTTAGTCAGGAGAGGTTTAACGGTAATCTGAATACATCTAGTCCTCAACTTACAACCGTTCATTTAGTGACTATTCAAAGTTACAACAGCACTGAAAAAAGTGACTTATGACCATTTTTCATACTTACAATCGTTGTAGCATCCCTGTGGTCACATGATCAAAATTGAGACGCTTGGCAACGGACTCATATTTATGACAGTTGCACTATCCTGGGATCATGTGATCTCCTTTTGTGACTTCCTGACACAAGCCAATAGGGAAGGCAGATTCACTTAACAATCCTGTTACTAACTTAACCACCACAGTGATTTGCTTAACAACTGTGGCAAGAAAGGTACTAGTAAAATGGGGCAAAACTTACTTAAATGTTTCCCCTTTATTACTAAAGAACACAGTCCTGAAATATCACCATCTTACCTTTTGAACACCAGATAAATCCTTCTTTAATCCTGTCACTGTCTGGTAGAGAATCTGCGCAAAATAAATAACAACAGCAAAACAATCTGAATGTGGATTTCTCAAATCTTTGGTCAATGATCCTAATAAAGATCTGACTTATATATACAGCATTACACTATATTACAGTGATGGTGAACTTTTTCAGCACCGAGCGCTCAAACCGGAACACACATGCATGCACGCGTACCAGAGCACCGGAAAAAAGAAGACCAGCTGGCCAGTACGCGCATGCCTAGTTTTTGGGCATTTGGGGGGCCGTTTTCAAGCTGTTTGGGGGGCCATTTTTGGCTGTTTTCTGGGCCATTTTCCGGCCTTTTGGGGGCAATTTTCATGGCATTTAACGGGGAATTTTCAGGATGGTTTTGGCTGTTTTTTGGTCAGTTTTCAGGCCAGTTTTTGGACTTCTTTTGGCCTGAAAAATGGCCTGAAAACAGCCTGAAAATGGCTCAAAAACAGTCTGAAAAGGCCTAAAAAAGGGCCAAAAAAGGGCCAGAAAAGCAGCCAAAAAATGGCCCAGAAAACAGCCTGAAAATGGCTCAAAAACAGTCTGAAAACGCCTAAAAAAGGGCCAAAAAAGGGCCAGAAAAGCAGCTGAAAAATGGCCCAGAAAACAGCCTGAAAAAGAGTTTTGGGGCCATTTTCCACTGCTCCAATGCTTGCAAAGTTCAGCTGACCAGAAACCAGAAGATCAGCTGGCAATGGCGCGCGCATACCCACTGAGAGGGCTCTGTATGCCACCTCTGGCACGCATTCCATAGGTTCGCCATCACAGCTGTATTACCTTCTTGTGAGACAGAAAGCATCAATTACTTCACCAAAAATTATTTGTTGCTGTTACCATTCAACATGCTTCTGGGGTAGTAGGCATTGCATTCTGAGCTTCTGTCCAAAAAAACCTCTCAAATTAATATGCTCATATTTTTTACAGATCAAACGATTCTTAAAAAATGAGAAGAGATTAATTTAAACCTCTTGTTACCATTGTCAGTATTAAAGTGACTCCAGTGGGGTGCTCAGAGGATCTCCACCCAAGAAGAATTGTTACAACTCTTCCTCATTCCACAGTTTTGTATGCCTCATGAAAATCTCTACAACACTGGAACTCTTTGGGGCAGCAAGAGAAACACATACAGGGAACACAGGGAGGAAAGCGACTTTTCTTCCAGAATAAAGCACCTTTCTAACACTTATATCCTGCCAAACCCAGTCTAAACATTGGCTTGTCTCTATGGCCATCCATAATAATGTAATAATTTCTATGTTGCCTGAGTCCCAACAATTTTGGGCATAGCCCTTATGTTCAGGCCAGTCTGAATCCAACCCAATATGTAATGTGATACACTAATCAACTCCATATTCATACATTGCATATTTCTTTAAATGTCCAGTCAATCCAGTATTGCTTACATTATCTTGCTGCACACTGAGGGCTGAATCTTCTTCCTTCAGCTTCATCATTATGTCCACATCTCTCTCATAGTTCTTAACGTCTGTCAGAGTCCTCGGGATATAGGCTTTCCTGAACACCTAGCAAGGCGAATTAAGCATGATCTGATAAAACTAGAAATCACTTTTTATATGTTTTTCTATTATTATTGATAATGAAGAGAGGAGGTAATCATAGATCTTTCACTCATAGGCTTGCCAGGATGGACTAAAGCAAGGGTCTTCAAACTTGGCAAGTTTAAGACTTGTGGACTTCAACTCCCAGAATTCCCAAGCTAAAATGACTGGACGAGGAATTCTGGGACTGATTTACACTTTAGTCCAGGGGTCTTCAAACTTGACAGCTTTAAGACTTGTGGACTTCAAGTCTTAAAGCTGTCAAGTTTGAAGACCCCTGGACTAAAGTGTAAATCAGATTCATTTTTTGAAAAAGCAGAAACACGTTTAAGAGCTGAAGAAGCTTCTTGCATGAGAAGCGAAATGTCTTCTATAAGAAAACAAGAAAGTCTAGTTGCCTCCTGAAAAAGCACCTTTGAGACACGTTTAAGTGGCATAAAGTTAAAGGTATTTTTAGAGCTAAAATAAGAGCACAAAAATTAGGGCATTTAAGAGAGACTTAAGTAAAATATACTTCCATGATGGAGTCTTTATTTCAGTTTATTAATTATTTAAACATGAAATTTATAACGGTGGAATCGATTACTGCAATTATTTGAAGCCTATAAAAATACAAACTTTGTTAATACCTTTGATGAATCATTTGAAAATAAATATATTCCTGAGTATTATCAAAATATGGAAGAATAGTTCAGGTTCTTTCAGAAGAGACATGATGTTTTATTTAGTCCACTAGCTTACCTCTTCATCTACATTATTCTGATTGGATCTTTCTTCCACTGTTCTTTCAGATGCAATTTCCATTATCTATAAGATATTGAGAAATAAATTCCTAACATCAGAAAACTCATTTGAAAGAGCTGCATAGGTTCTTTGACAATTGCTTTTACCAAAATGATTTTTTTCCCCCAAACACAATTTTCCCCAAGTTCTTTTTAGCAAGATTTATTGAGATCGATGGGTTAGAAGAATTCCCAGCAACTAATTGTGTTTAATGTGGAAGCAGTACATTTCTATGCGCACTGGAATGGAGACACTCTGCTTCTCTAACTGCCTTCTACAAGGAAACCAAATTTCCACCCCAATAATAATGAAATTTGCAACTGATTGTTTATCAATCTGGGAACCAATTCTTAGATAATGATGCATATTCTTTCATCCAAGTGTGAATGCCTCTTTTAATAAATCTCTGATGTTGTATAGCTCCCTGCCACTAGATCAGGGGTGTCTAACCTTGGCAACTTTAAGACTTGTGGACTTCAACTCCCAGAATTCCTCAGCCAGC